AGTTAAAACAAGTTCCCCTCCCCATTTATCCAACACAATAAAATAAAAAAACGCAGTTTAAAAAAAGTCAGCAGCACTAGGATAAATAGTTTAAGATTTTATTATTACCATAAGTTTTAAATAGGTTTTTGCGATGACTAAAAATTACACATTTTTCTTCTAAAAAAAAATAATAGTCATTTTCAAAAGCTTTATAAAATTCGATAGAGTTTTTCCGTCTGGTCCTGGAGCTATATTTAGTTTTATTCCGTCCATCGTCTTGGATATTTCCTCATATGTAATTGGAGTGTAGATTTGAGTGCACTCATCATGGTCTAGCCGTGTTATGCAATTGAGGTAGTGTTCTTGTATTTAATCGTCATTGTGTTAGCTGTCCCTAAAAGGGAATTTAGTAAAGTTGCCTTTTCAAACCTGACGGTCTATTGGGCAAGTGAAGTGCAGTTCACTTGTTTCTATGACCTCGGCATATGAAGAGATAGTGCGGTCAGCACTATGCCCAGCCGCCTTTACTTTCCCTAACGTGAGTTAGGTACCCATCAGAGTTGGGTGGACTCAGGGTCGGTCTACTGACTTGAACCCGGATTCGAACTCGATACGGGTTACCAGTCCAGCTCTCTACCGCTGGACCACTCCATCCCATCACAATAGTATCTAATACATTGTCATCCCCCCATAACTAGTACCATCACAGTAGTATCTACTACATTGTCATCTGCTCCCCGTCTCCCCCATTACTAATGCTAATACAACTACAATTATTCCTATCACTACAATTTTCCACAAGCATTTCTGTATGCATTAACAAGAATATTTCTGATTCATTTCATCAAATTGTAAAGATGTTTGTTTATTAATGCGTGCAGGTTTTTGCGCCTGTATGTCTCTGAAGATGGTTCGCTTTTCTTTCACTATTTATGTCATCGGCTGTGAAGACTGATAGATTTGCAACAATTTAAGTTGTTTATGATGTGTATTTTTTTTCACAATCATTTATGCATGCATACACTAGAATATACTGTCTCCATTTCATCAAACCAGAAATATGAACTTATAGTTTACTAATGAGTGTTTTCCTTTGCTAAAACAACGCAATATTAATAGAAAAAACAGTTATATTTGCTATCGGTAATCTAAATTATAATTTTTTTTAGGCCTGGCGTTGACACACATCTATTTAAAACTTGCTGATTTTGACCACATAAAAATGATGATAAACACCGAGACAGAATTGTATTAAAACATTACAGCTGACAGCAGTGTTCATTGATACAAGTAGAATCCCTGGCCCCTGTTATTGTTCAATCTAAGGACCATATTTGCTAAGACAGTATATGTGGAACTCGTAGTGCCAACTCATTGCTTAATGTGTGGATAAATATTGAATAAAATATTGAAAATGTTGAATAATATTGAATAATATTTTTTTTTAGTTTGGATGACAGTTTTTTGTTTCAATGAGAATTGCATTGTTTTGGTTACTTCCCATTTTATAATCTAAAATTAACAAGGTACATAACTGACAACTATGTACACAAGAGGATATACATTTAAAACAATTACATAAACATTATATATCAATGGTGGTGATGTCTGTGTCTATCGTAGATAATGAGTTTTTGCTATAATTCAATAGTCCTGTAAACACAAGACAGTTATTAAGCAACCCACTGGAACTAATACACATGGTCAGTTTTTGCTTTAATCCAATGGTACTGTAAACACAAGACAGTTATAAAGCAACCACTGGAACCAATGCCACACCCCGTCCTGCAACACAACTGACCCATAGAGTTACCAGGCACCATGACGTAGTAAATAACATGATGGGAGGGGTGGGGTATGGTTTATTGATAGAGTACTGGATTTTTTAAAACTAAACTGGTAAATGTCACAAACCGGATAGTATGGGCGACTGTCTTACAATGTCTCTGTAGTTGTTACGAACATTTGAAGTCGTCGACTGAGTGTAGTGTTATCGTTGGTTCAGGCTCTAGCAAATAATGCCGTCGTTGTCTATTTGTTTGTATCAATGGTACCTGAACCATTCACAGTCAAATCTTACATATGCATTGTTTATAAATAGAACATACACTAGGCACAAAAGAGGATGCAATGTGTTACTCATAAAAAATAATATAGTGCAAGTAATCAGTAGCATTTACTCTACGCATGTATGTCTACTATCTACAATAATCATTGTTTTGTTGTTTTCTTTTTTATTTAATATACCAACATTGTACTTGTAAACTGCAACATTGTAGTAAATTAATTTACAAAAGTGAAAGCAAAAGGATCACAGCAATTTATAAATACAATTTAATGAGGGAAAATACATTTTTGTTTTGTTTCGATTAATATTACATTATTCTGGTTACATCCCATATTAAAGCAAATTGTAGAAAGGTAAATAACTTGTATATATGTAAACTTGTTAAAACTTGAAATAAAATTAAATAAACGTTATTCTTAAATATGTATATTAACATTAAATTTTAGAAAAATAATTAGACTTAACGATGTTATGAATGATTTTTAAAAATTGTGTTTTTCTTATTTTTGGTTATGCATTTTAATTATATAAGTAATACCTTTATTAGACACAAAATAAAAAAAAAATCGAGAATGTTTGTTTTAATAAATGCTTCACGTTCTTGTTCTATGTGGTATTGACATTGTTTTTATTTCATGAATATAACACTATGCAAATTAATTATGAATTATCCGTATGAATTCACCCCGTAAACCGTCAGGTATGAAATGTAACTTGTTTTTACACATAAAGTGCCTCAGCACGGCATATCCCAACACCATGTTAATTAAAGTAACAATAATATACATGTTGTAGTTAAAGGTACAGTCAGACGTACTATCAACAATGCTCTTTAAATCGTGTCATTGGCAATGAACTAATCAACCAAAGATATTATTACAGATAATCGATGGACAAAAACAAAATGATTTGAAATATTTGCTAGTCAAGTACGACAAAAAATCCGAAAGAAAACTAAAATCATCTAAAGATTGTGTGGTTGGAGGAACGTCAAGATATTTAGGGGTGTAGGGAGACACGTTGATATGTGTAAATCACTGTCTTACAGCTAGAAATAGGTTAGGGTTGGGTTAGAGAAGTAATTAGTTTTAATTATCGATTATAATGCTTAAAAACTCTGGATGTTAACTCTATAATGGTACTGTAGCGATCGAATATATGTTTTTTTTGTCGTCAGTAAAGATTTGATAATTATTTTGTACACGCAGATTAGTAGTACTATAACATTACACCAACAATTTTTTTCATAAAAACGAAATTTTAAAAATTGTCTTAGAGCCAAATGAGTTTTAGTTATTGATTTTATTTTATATGCGATCACCATATCGGAGAGGCAGCGATTATATGTTGGCTTGTTTTGTGGTTATTCTGGAGACATAGTGAAAGGTTTGTGTTAATGTTGAAGTTAGTTTAGTGCGGGATGATATTGTGTTGACATGGTCTAGTCACAGTCGAGTGTGATATGGGCCTAGCTATTGTGAGATTTGGGATTGTATCGAGATGTTCTAGTGTGGTGTGTGGTAGTAGGGTTAAGGTTTAGTGAGGTTGTTGAGATAGGGCAACACTGCAGGTTGTGTGGTTTGGTTCAAATAGAGTCTATAACTAATGTGTAAAGTGATTAAAGATGTTTCATTTGTAATCCAGACAGCGCCTTTTGTAGAATATGTTTGTTGTGGTGTTTGCACGTTACTTATTGCATTTTATCAGCTTTTTGTTTTCTAATATTAATTTTTGCAAAATCATGAAGAAGATAATTTGTGTCACATGACCGTATGGGTTTAACCAGTACTACACCACATCCCAGCCTGATGCGGGTCACTGGTCTGACACGGGTCACTGATATCATTGGGTCACTGGTCTGGGGTGGGTCACTGGTCTGGGGTGGGTCACTGGTCTGGGGTGGGTCACTGGTCTGGGGTGGGTCACTGGTCTGGGGTGGGTCACTGGTCTGGGGTGGGTCACTGGTCTGGGGTGGGTCACTGGTCTAGTGCGGGTCACTGGTCTGGTGCGGGTCACTGGTCTAGGATGGGTCACTGGACTAGAGCGGGTCACTGGTCTGGTACGGGTCACTGGTCTGACGCGGGTCACTTTTCTGGTGCGGGTCACTGGTCTGGTGCGGGTCACTGGTCTGACGCGGGTCATGTGTCTCAAGTCCATCCTGAGAGCCGCTGACCCTCATATACATGAAGTGCACTATTTAAAAACATTATTTCCAACTGCGAATTTAACATATTGTTATTATTCACGTCTCTTAAAACATTCCGCATTTAAATTGTGTGCTGATGAGCCTGGATTATGCAAATTATCATGTGTATACCATTACTAATCTAGTATCTCAGACATGTGTAATCCACCCTGGAAACAGTCACAAAAGCACAATTCAGAAGAACAATACAATTTCCATTAAAAAAATGTGTACTTGTATATTTTATTTTACATGTGTTTCTAACAATTAGAGATTAACATAAACGAGATTGACTACATTTATGTTTTAGTTTTAACACACAATGTGATATACGTTTGACATGCAGAAAACGTAGGGTTCTAATCAAATATTCTTTATCAGTAATGTATTTGTTGCTTTCAATGTTGGTTTCACATAGAAAGCAGATGGCGTTTCGTCTTCTGATTGTGTGTGTTTTCTTCATTCTTTGTCGTTGTTGAAAGAGAGTAGGCGGTATCCGCACACTACCTTCCTGTGTACGGTCTGTATGTTTTGCAGATTTTGTTTTCCTTTCTTTTGTTATATTTGGACTGATGTGTTTTGTTAAATAATTATGTATCCATATTTGCATGTGAATTTCTAGCATTATGCTTGTGGCAATTCGTTAGTATGGGATTGATCTTTGTAATTAAATGATTTTTTTTTTTTTTTGCAGTAACATTTACTTTATTAAAATGCCTTTTTACGACAAATAAAGAAGAGTAGGATCTTTTAAATGCACCAAGTTCAACTTAAAGCAGGTTGATCTTGAAGTATACTTTTGTGTGCTGTAAATCCCTTTTGTATTAGATCAGGTATCTCCACAGCCAGCCATGGTCCAAGCCCAAGGGCCATAGCATGTGCAATACCAAATCTAGGAACATCACGTGCCCATAAAGGTTTAAAATGATCTGTTAGACAGATTCTGCCTCCCCTGTACATTTTTGCAATTTTTCCATCTAGCTCTGGAATAGCTATTTCAGGAGAAGTTGTAGGGTATGTCACTGGAATATCAAATTCAATGTCGAATTCATATTTGAGTAACTCATGAATGTACCAGCATTTGCCAAACCACCTAGTTCCTTCTTTATTGGACTCCAGCCTAAACCAGTCATTATCACTTTCTTTGTTGTTTTGTACATACTGTATTAATGCTTGGTATTCTCGTGGTCCGGCTTTGGTTTTTAACAGAGGAATTTTGGCTAAAGTTGATTTTGTTGCTTCGTCTACCATGGTGTATAGCTTTGTAATGAAATGAAGATAAAAGAATCCTAGTTATCACATCGGAAAAAGAATCCTAGTTATCACATCGGAGACAATGATAATAATTGGAAGTTTTCTCAACTATACAAAAAGAAAGTTAACTTATTTAAAGTTTTCCAAATTGTGAAAAGTGAAGACTTATAAGTAAAGATTACAAGAAATTAAAAATCATAACTTACAAAGTTTTGCAGACACATTTCAAACAAAAAGAAAGAACAATCTGCATATTACTATTAAATTAATATTAATATAATGTTTAATTATGTTTCGGAACCAAACTAATGGATTACCTCCCTTAAAATGTTTACATTTTAAAAACGGGAAGTAACTGTTACAAGTAACAATAATTGAGTGAATGCATTAAAATAGGGAATGTTGTGGTGGTGCAAGTCAAATGCGTCGAGAGGCAGAAATATGATTTTCCCCAGGTCAGCGATTTATTTATTAAAGTTAAAAAGTCTATAGAGAAAAGAATGAAACATCCATCTGAATAATTTACAGAGGAAGAAATGTTTTGTGGAATATTTTCAATATAAGTAATTCAATGACCGGGGTGGGTACGAGAGTGTGACCTACTTAGGTCGAGTCATTTTTATTTTGACATTGTATAATTCCTTATATGGAATGATGGTGTAACACCTGGGGTTTTTCCACTGACTTATTAAGGTGTTTGAGACATAGAAATTTTCCATTAAAATCTGATTGCATGATTCTGATCAGATGATTATCCCAACCAATGGCGACATGAGTTGAGGATAACCTCCCCTGTCACAGAAGTCTTTAATTGCACTGCACACTCGCAACACGAGGCAGTTTTTTCTTGACCTGGCAGTCTACGGGGCCGTTTTACCTCGATCAGGCAGCCGTCCATATTGTCCGGCTATAGAGTCTGACCATTTGAACGTGAGAGTACTTAAGACCTGTGTGTGCCTTGCTTTCTTCAGTTGATTTAGTCTTCTAGTTTAATATTACTTGTCGCTAAGTAAGTCTTGAAGCTACAGCAGTGTTGTGTGGCCTGTAGCTGTTCTTTAGACAGTGTAGAAATCTGTGATAGTGTTTTTTCCTACATCGTGTAAGTTGGGTTTTGATATTTTATACATTAAATATTTTATTTAGTTCAACCTTGTGTTCTGCCACTTCTGAGTTCGCTGATTAAAAGGTCGTATGTAGATTGGATGAGTGTTAATTACAATAGTATCACTAGCTTCCCTAGACATTAAATTCGAGCCCTAGTGGTCGTTGTGTTAAGGTTCATCCACTTAGGCCGTAAGGTATTTGCATATGACCCCGAAAAAAGAATCCGGGGACGTTCTCCTTCTATTTGGCTGATAGATAGGTTAACGTTACAAAGTGGGGGCTCGTCCGGGATTTAATCTGTCGTTCCAGTTGTTGTTTATATCAGTTGAATACTAAGGTTAGTTGGATTTAGTTGTTTTTATATCCAGTGTAGCGCCGTGGTCTTACAACGCGCGCTCAGGCTAGAGTATCTAGGTCAAATAAGCAGACGTGTCACGTCCTACATTTAGAGGTCAAGTACACGGCCCAACGCTGTGTATTAATTTAAAGGATCTAGGCTTGTTGTGATTTGAAAGTTAGTGTTATGGAGTCTTTTTTGGCTAATCCTACTGTTGAAGATGTAGAAAAGTTGAGTAGAAAAGTTTTGGTTAGTGTTGTTAAGGAATTGAAATTGGATTATTCTGTTACGCAGAAGTCAGAGGTGTTGAGAGATAAAATTGTTGTTCATTTTATTAATGAAGGGGTATTTGATGAAAGTTTGTTGGCTGGTGTGTTACTTCGGGAGGAGAAAGTTGCTTTAGAGAAGGCATTAAAAGAACAGGAGTTAGAGGTTAAAATTGCTTTAGATAGGAGGAGGTTGGAATTAGAGTTTGGTCAAGTTAGTGATGTCACTTCTCTGGTAGATCCAAAAAAGTTGTCGGTAGGGCAAGTGATTGCCAAATTTGGGAAATTAGTTCCTAAATTTGATGAAACAGATTTGGTCGTTTTCTTTAACTCGTTTGAGAGTTTAGCGAAGACATGTGAATGGCCCGAAACTTCCATTACTGCTTTATTGAGCTCTGTCCTTACTGGGAAAGCTGCAAAAACATACCAGGCACTCTCTCACGACGTTCAAAATAACTATAGTTTGGTCAAGACTGCCATTTTAAAGGCCTACGCACTGACGCCCGAGGCCTATCGGACAAAATTCCGAACACTCCGCAAGTTACCCACACAATCATATGTGGAATTTCTCTTTGAAAAGGAGAAAATATTCTCAAGGTGGCTACACTCTGAGGAAGTTTCTGAGTTTGAGAAACTCAGGTCACTTATCCTAAGGGAAGAATTCCTATCGTCCCTGCCTGAAGAGATACGACTACACATTCTGGATAACAAGATAACTGACATCCAGAAGGCTGCTGAGTCGGCTGACACATATATGTTGGTGCATAAGAAACCACCAGTGTCAGGAAACCGCCTCAACCCCGTGCTTCCCCTTTTTGGCAGCAATCCTCCTGTTGGCCAACATTTGAAGACATCACAGTCCAGAGAGAAACCAAGATCAACTCTCAATCGTCGAGCAGTATGCCAGTTCTGCAAAAGGCCTGGTCACCATGTCAAGGACTGTTACAAACGTCTTCAGAATAACAGAGAGGTGGTGCGTACTTCCGCGCACTATGCTCTATCCCCTCAAGCAGCCAGTTCAACTATGAACTCAAGAATTCTAAAGGACTCTAACCCTAAGTGTCCGCAAGAAGGTAGTCAAGTCTCCACACATTATGTGCAGTCACATTTTGACTGTTCTCGCCACCATCCAGTTTCTTCCGAGTCTACCGATCTCGAGGGATCGAGAAAAGTTGACTTTTCATCTTTTATCGCCGAAGCCATCATTAGCAAACCAGGTGATCCGTTGTCTCAGCGGAATATCACCGTCCTAAGAGACACCGGAGCGTCACAATCACTCCTTTTGAAAAGTTCAATGGACATTACACCTGAGACGAACACCGGAAGGATTTCCATTATCCAGGGAGTGGGGACAAAATCTACTGTCGTCCCTCTACACAAGTTTGCCCTGAAACATCATCTCGTCGAAGGTGAGGTCATTTTAGGTGTGATAGATAGTATTCCTGTCCCAGGAGTACACCTACTTCTAGGGAATGACCTTGCGGGAAGCAAAGTATACCCCTGTACGGTTTCAGACCCTTTGTCAACAGTTCCAGATAATGATTATGAACTGTATCCTGCATGTGCGGTGACAAGAAGCCAGACCAAACAATTGGCTGACACAACGTCTGAACCACACCTACCATCATCGTCAAGAAATTCGACTCCCAAACTGGAGTCTATGCTTCCTGAAAACACAAGTCTGGGCTTACCCCTGAGGATATCTCAGGACGACATCATTAAAGCTCAACAAGTCGACGCGGAACTCAAAGCAACGGTCGAAAAATCTCTATCGTCTGACGATGGAGAATATTTCTCCGAGAACGGCCTCTTCTTTCGTCGCGCTATACCAGTGATTGCCTCACCAGCCGAACCATGGTTGGGTAAAAACCAGCTGTGGGTCCCTCCACCTTATCGGCATGAAATACTTAAGCTGGCACATGACCATCCAATGTCAGCGCACCCAGGTGTCACTAAAACGACGGCGAAGATCAAAGAACTGTTCTTTTGGCCCAAAATGAGAAAAGATGTGTCGCGTTACTGCAGAAGTTGCACGAACTGTCAGTTGGCCGGAAAGCCAAACCAGACAATTCCTAAGGCCCCTTTGAGTCCGATTCCTGTATTAGAAGAACCTTTTTCTAAAATCGTCATGGACTGTGTAGGTCCCTTGCCTAAAACCAAGGCAGGCAACGAGTACCTACTTACCTTTATGTGTTCAAGTACCCGTTTTCCCGAGGCGATTCCCTTACGGAACATTAAGGCAAAAACTGTAGTCAGAGCCATGACCCGGTTCTTCACTACCTTTGGATTACCTCGAATTGTGCAAACAGATCAAGGCAGCAACTTCACCAGTCACCATTTTCAGGAAGCGCTAGCCAAGTTAGGCGTTACCCACATCACCAGCTCAGCCTACCACCCACAGTCTCAAGGCGTACTTGAGAGGTTCCACCAAACCCTCAAAACCATGCTAAGGACATTCGCTAATAGTAACACCCAATGGGATGAGTCTGTTCCTTGGATTATTTTCGCCGCGAGGGATTGTGTCCAGGACTCTTTAGGCTACTCGCCTTTTCAACTTGTGTTTGGACATTCTGTCCGTGGCCCCCTGAAGCTGATACACGAACGTTGGACAGGTACCAGTGATCATCCTGTGGAAAACTTTGACGATTTTCACGTTCGACTGAAAGCCGTGTGCGAAATGGCTCACAAGAACTTAAGAAAGGCCCAAGTGAGAATGAAAGGACTGTATGATAAGAGTTCTTGTAAACGAACATTCAATCCAGGCGACAAAGTTCTTGTGCTAGTACCTAATCTGAACAATGCGTTATCCTTGAGATATTGTGGACCCTTTACTGTGCATTCAAAATTAAGTGATTTGAACTATGTTGTCAATACGCCCGACAGAAGAAAGAAACAGACAGTGTATCATGTTAATTCACTGAAAAAGTATTATGATAATTGTAACAATTTTCATTCCACAGCTAAAATTACTTTACCTGTATGTTCAAATGTTTCTGATGATGTGATACATGATAAATTGAAACCCCCAAAATTGGTAAATTCTTCCTTTTTAGATAATTTGAATGTCCACCTTATGCATTTGTCCACAGAGGAAAGCCATAGATTGTCTCAATTATTCGAGACATTTCCCTCGATTTTTAGGGATGTCCCCAAAGAAGCGAAGGTTCCACCTCATGATGTAGACGTTGGTGACGCAAAACCCATTAAGCAACACCCCTATAGAGTTAACCCGGAAAAAGCTGCTTTGATAAAAGATGAAATTGATTATATGCTCAAGAATGATATCATTGAGC